AACAAAAGCGAACACGGTGGATTAATGTAGTGTACTAGGAGAGAGTTTTAGAGGGAAAGGAGGGATAGGGGCTGTTTTATTACAAACGGGGTGGGGGGGATGAGTCTGCTTGCAAGATAATCCCTTGTGCACACCGACAAAGCGAGTGTTCATTGTTCAACGGTAAACACCGAGTGTTTAACTCAATGGGAGTGTTCATCAGGGGTGTTTGGTGGTACGGGCATACAGCTACCGTTCGTCTCTAGGTTGAACAACTGCATTTATCTCGTGCAACAATTTTTGGATTACTTAAAAAAACACTGGTCGATAGTTGGGATCTTTTCCGCATAAAACTGCTCCCTTTTCCGATCGACCCCAAAGCACAAGGGTAGCTCCGCTCGCCGCAAATGAACTTGTCGGCACAACTTCCTGGACGCCAAAGTTGGCTGCCGGCGCGGCGTGCTTATGGGCCTATAACTCGTCCGCACATAACCTCGTCCTCTCCAGCGCTGCTCTCCAGGTCTGGATGGCTCCAGGTATTCTCCAGGTGTGGGGCGCGGGCATTAGGACGGCCCCCCGCGAGGATAGCGACACGACAGAGCTGCCGGTGGCTCCGGATAACCCCGCATGGGGCCACCCCGCCATGCCACGCCCCGCCACGCCCCACCACGCCCCGCCACCTGCCGACAGCTACATCTAAAAGGTATAAATAATGTGCGTCTCACGCAATCCCTGCCGCCGCCTTCCTCACCCTCCGCAGGCGCGCGCCGCGACTACTGTACCGTGTTCCTTTTTACCCCCCCCCCTCCCCCCTTTCCTACATTCTCCGTTCTTTCCCTCTCTTATCTATCAACCCCTTTTTATACTTTTTTTTACCCTTCCTTTCATCTTTTTCTTCCCCTTTCCTGCTTGATGCGTCTCTTGCATTTGTCACGGGGGATCCGAAGATAAAGGTCTCCTCGGCTCCACCCGCGTCTACCTTGAGGACGGGTTGAGCGACAACCGGTGGCGACGGCGGCCGGACAGTGGCAGCGGCGGCGGCAGTGGAAGGCGGCCCTCCTCGGCGGAGACGCGCTAACGCGACAGTCGAAAGGGATCCAGAAGAGTAAGTGCAGCGGGGCAGCCTGCCGGGGGCACATGCCGTGAATAAGGGGTGGCCTCGAGACCTACATACCAACCACCATCTGCAGCCGGTCGTGCTAGAAATTGACTTGATATTATCCGTATGCTGAGAGAAGTTCGGGGGGGGGGGGGAATATTTGTTAGGTTCTAGTCCAGGTATTGAATGGTTGGAAGTTTGCCGCTCTCAAATTCGTATAAAAACGCACGGGAAAATCGGGAAAAATGGGCGTGAGACGTTAGACCTTTTACGTGTTTCTGAGCCGTTCTGGGCCTTACAGTCTCGGTCATAGTCCTATTCTACCCGCCCAGGCGACTGCATACTGTAGTTTCCAAGAAAAAGTGGTGTCATGTTCTAAGCAAAAAGTGCCTGGAGACTACACTGTTAGTCCGGTGGTAGGAAAAATCCGACCCTACGCTAGTATACATCCACGACCCTGGTGTGGTCGGTTTTTTCCGACCCACAAAAATCCGACCCTAATGCCTCGCTAAATTTCTACGACAAAGGTCGGATTTTTTCCGACCCTACGGCCGGGTGTAACCTGCGCATGCGTCGGAAAATATACCGGCGTGCGCTCGCATATAAGGCTGTGTACCGCTCCGAAATTTTTAGTCCGTAAGCACGGCCGTTATCCAATGTTTTGGTCCTGAAATTTCCTTGGAAATGCTGGTCCTTTATGCGCCGCATTGCACGCGGTTTATGCAGCTTTCCGCTCCGAAATTTTGAAAGTGTAAGCACGGTCATTATCCAATGTTATGGTCTACAAAGATCCACAGAAATGCCCGCTCTTTATGCATCGCATTGCACCGAAATTTTGAGTGTGTAAGCACGGTACAGATACACAGTTAAGAAACACAAAAATGTAGAAATTACTAATTTAATGCAATAACGTCAGTTGCACAATAATCCGTCAATATCAAGATGGTGAGAGCTGGGCCAGCTAATTCCTGTCCTTGAACTTGATGCAAATAATGAGCTCCTGCAAAAACGGAATCAAAACTGAACATTTTGCTACTGACATTTAAAATTTATCATAATGATTTTTGGGGGGAAGTGGATAATATCTTACCTTAATGGGTGTTGAGGTGCCAGAACTGGTGAATCATCTATCGCACTATACAGTGTGAAGGTATCCGCCGAAGGGTAGTGCTGAACCTGCAGGCTGTCCTCGTTTTAAAAATAGTCCTGCAAAGACAGAAAAAGACATGAAGATAATGTGGGGAGAGGGAGGGGGGTGGTAGTAGTAGAAGTAGTGAGAAAACTTGTTATTTTAAAACATTAAGACCCAAGAATAACACATATTGAGAATAAACTTTTTATACTTGAAGGGTCAGCATTTAAAGTTACAAAATAATTTTCTGATTCGATTGATAGTATCATACCTTGTCAGAAGTCACATAAAATATCAGTTGTTGGCAGAAAACCACTCAACAGTCTGTCAACTAAAGAATGCCTTTCCCGCAGCTGTTCTTACTTTTCCTAATGGTATTAGAGTTCCCAGTGACGAATGTACATTTTGGATTCCATCAATCGAATAAGAGCATTATACTATGCCATAAAATATCTTCATTTCAAGACTAACGTGTCATATTCATTACTAAAAATTTTACATCTTTAATTTAGAAGAATTATCACTCTACTCCCAATTTATAAGGCATTCAAACTTCCCTAATAACAAAGAATATCTATAAGTACTAAAAAAATTACATACCTTTGTTTCGAAGAAGTTTGTGTAACACACAACGGTCATGAGACGATTCAGTCTTGATTCCGTTCTTACTCCATCAAAGTTCGATATGGTCTTCAACTGGATAGATACCGGAGCAAAATCTAATAAACAAAGCATTAAAAGAATTGAGGTGAGACTCAAATATAGAAGACATAAAAATTAATCTTAATCAAAAAGTCATTTTGCATGATGTTTGCAAGAAAAAAAATATCAGAAACATACCTTGATCATTGGTTGGCTAACCCATGTTGGGTTAACTATACATTGCCACACAGTTTCTATTCGTTTTAAGTTCTGAAGTGTAATTAGTCCACATTCAGGAAAAGTAGAAAATTGACATAATCGCCTAGTACAACAGCAGTAGGGCAAACAGAATTCAATATTACTGCGAAGCCCCAGAGCCAAAACATGGCCTAAACAACGATTTTAGGCTACAGTTAGATATTTCACTGTGGGACCCATAAATCGTTGAGTACCACGTCTCTACCATAACTGATCGTTCCCGATGCAAAGGGGAACCTTTCGAACCACGCAAAATGCAGTAAATGTGCGTAAAATGTGAAATTAAACTAAATATCACGAAGCGACTTCGCCGGCAAGCATGGACCAAGCAGACACGACAGAGGTTAGGGTGATCGCTGTTTGTTTTTGTTTATGTTCTGCGCGGGCGCGAAAATTCAATAGTCTCCCAAGCAGGTTTGTGGAATACGCATGTCTTTGAACAGGATCCGATCCAGATCCTCTTTTACTGTGTGAGTTCTATAGAAGCCAGTAGAAAAGAATATTGTTTTAAATCTCTGTTCAGTAGAAGGAATCTCTTGTATTTACCATATCATAGTGTCAGATCTAGGTAAAGGTGATTTTTTTTTTCAGAAATGAAGCACTTAAATGATAAACATATTGTGAAGGACAACCAGTAGAAGCTATGTGCCAAGTTTGGTGCTAATTGGTCATCCCATTTTAATGTCAGACAAATTACCGCTCACTTAAGTTTGTTGGTCAATCATATTTCTTACATAGTAAGAAAAAAAATTAAAAGACCTTTGATTAGTGATTTAAGACTTTATTACTATCATGTATCTACAAATAAAATCAGATTTCATGTTGCTGCAAAGTTTTGTACACATACATAGTAATAAAAGGATTTCTCGCTGTCAAAACTGTTGCTACTTGTAGTGGGTGTAAAAAATAAGATTTCTGATAGCAAACTTATAGTTTTGGTATCTATAGAAGTATTAGAATGTGAAAATTGTTTTGACAGTAATAGTTAAATACTAACAAAAGATAAAGGCTAAATACTTCAAGAGTTATAAAATGTTCAGCATCACCAATATTACTAGGAGTTTAACACTTCAGCTCTTGAAGTATTCAACATTTTCATTTTGTTAGTACTTCATTATCACTTTGAAACAATTGGCACATTATAATAATGCTATTCTTATCAAAACTGTTGATTTATAACATGAAACCTACTTTTACACACCCAGTTTAAATGGCAACATTTTACTAAAGATTTGACAGCGAGAAATCCTTATATCACTATGTATATGGAGAAAACTTTGCAGCAACATGAAATCTGATTTCATGTGTGGACATATGATTGAAATGTAGTCTTAAATCACTAATCAAAGGTCTTTTTATTTTTTTCCTTACCATGTAAGAAATATGATTGACAAACAACTTGAGTGAGCGGTAATCTGTCTGACATTAAAATGGGATGACCAATCGGCACCAAACTTGGCACATAGCTTCTACTGGTGGTCCTTTACAATTCATTATTAAAATTGAATGTACTTGTTGAAAACAAAATAATTTTTATCAATAGGTCTACTTTTTGCCAATAACTATCAAGTGAACCAACCAAACAGTAAATACTCAACCATTACAAAAGTTATTTAATGGAAAAATTGTCACAAAAATAGCACCTGTACCAAATGTGTTA